GTCTATATCTATATCTATATCTATATCTATATCTATCTATATCTATAATTTTTAACCTAGTTTAGAATTTTGATATATAGGGCTAAATTGCCTTTTTGAAAACTTTTACTTTCCTACTAGCCTATAGTATTTCTTTATTTCACTACATCAATTCCAAAAGCAGGTATTTCATTATTGTTATTTTTTAAACATTCTGATGGAAGAAAATGATATGTCATTCCTATTTGATTTACATATCTTTGTTTATCAATATGTAAAGTTATTTGTTTCCTTTACCAAGAGCTATTTATGCTTCTATATAATTTTTTCACTTCATTTGCCCCATTTTCTATTGGTTTGCCTATAGAACTTTTTCATATTGTCTTATATAAACTTTATTATTTAAATCATAACAATATTTACTCACTGTTTCTCCTTTATGCTGCCATTTGGTCTCCAGTTTAGTGTTTCCCTTTTTTATTTTACCTATGTTTATATATAAGTGCATATTTAAAATTTTGTAGGTCTGTGTATAGTGATAGTTTCCTTTATCCATATTATATAATCTATATCTATTTTAGAAAGATGTACCAAAATATGGCACATTCTGCAGTTTTTCAGCATATTTTATATATTGCTGCTAATTGAAATCTATGCCATCTGTTACTTATATGGCTGTATGACATATATAAGTGGATATTTTTATATTAACACAGAGGTCTTAGTACTTTTAAAATATACAAACTCATAATGGTGAGACTGGAGATCTATATCAATAAAATATCAATTTACATTTTAGTTTATGCTATAATTGCTAATATTGCTTCCTCTACTGGTAATATTTTCTTTCCTTGAGGAAGCACATAGTGAATACAATGACTTTTGATCTTAGAATTCACCCCAAATATGTAAACATGTTTGGTCTTGGTTTTTCTGGTGGGAAAATTAAATATTATGGTTGCAAGTTGAATATAATTAATATTTTTGGTATATATTCACCACAGTATTACTGAACTCTGTGTACTTTTACATTGATTATTGAATGATAATCTCTATATATTTTTTTCCATTTAGGATCCATCAAATTAGTTAACTGAGGTGATATGACAATTTTATTTGTGTATCAAAAAATTAGGAATTTGTTCTATCCAGTGTAAAATGCAAATTATGTGCATAAGAGGCAGATGGCAGGTTTAACAATGTCCCAGACAAGAAAAGATAATAACACTGAGCTGTGAAATAGTAATCAATCACCTCACAGAAGAGTAGAGATCCAACTAAAAAAAAATGATGGAGAAAAATCTCTACAAGGAAAGATTTAGACTTTTTAGAACATGCTTTAGAGTACATAACTTACTAATGTAAATGAGGAAATGTGTGGTGGGAGTGTGGAGCAGAGTACCAGATATAATTGAACATTTTTTGAAGTAAGTCACACCCTTGAATTTAATTTGAATAAGTGTGCTAGCACCTCAAAGGAAACAAGCTTCTTATCCATCTGGTTGCCATCAGTGCCTCGGTGTTTCTGTGTTTACTGAAGGGACAAATGAATGGATTGAGGAGTACAATTAGTATAAAAATGAAAACTTACTGATGATTAGATTAATAAAACTATAATAGATATCAAGGTTAAGCTGATTTGGGGGTGAATATTTTTCTTATCCTGCTTACAGTTACAGTTTTCTATATCTCCCAAACTATCAAATTAAAAATAATAATATAGTATTTAATATATTTAAGTAATATATACTAACATAGATAGATTGACATTTGGATTATCCATCACATTAAGTGAATGTTTTAGTCTTCTACTACTGATTAACAAATTATCACAAACTTACAGGCTTAAAACAAGACCCATTTATTATCTCAGTTATATAGGTCAGAAGTCTGGTTTGAGTGAGTTCTCTCCTTAGGGTCTCAAAATGTTAAAATTAAGCCTCCGTTAGAGTATTAGAATCATGGATTGGGTTCTTATCTTCCAACCTCATTATTGAAAGAATTCAGTCCCTTGGGGTTTTAGGACTTCAGTTCCTGCTTTTTTACTGGCTGCCAACTGGGGGACAATCTCAGGCCCTGGACGTTCCCCACCATTCTCTGCCAAATGGCTCCATCTATAACATGGCAATGCAATCGCTTAAGGCTAAGAGTATTTTCTACAGCTGAGAGTTCTGGCTTCTTCTATCCTGATGTTTAGACCTTTTTAGGGGCATAAAAGTTATTACTAATATCTTTTGTATATAATTAGACCAATCAGGAAAGTTTCCTTTATGATTAATTCAAAGTCAAGTAATTAGGGGCCTTACCTACTTATATAACAACCTTTTGGTCACATAATGTAACATGCTCATGGATTAATACCCCATGATATTCACAGATTTTTATTGCACTCAAAGGGATAGATATTTATAAGGCTTGTTCACCCAGAGTGAAAATATTGGCGTCATCATAAAATTCTGCTTAACATAGGCCACCCGCTGGCCCCAATGCCTCATTTCCCACTCAGGTACAAAATACATTCACCCTTTCCCAAGGCTCACAAGAGTAACACTCCATTACAACATCAACTCAAAGTCCAAAATATCATCCTAATTTCACCAGCTCAAAGTGAACACTTTCACCATCTCAGTCATCTAAAATGGCACAAATGAGGATCCTGAGAGCAGACCTTGAAGAAGCCTGACCTTCAGTCCCAAGGGTATAGTTTCTCTCTAGGTATGTACTCATGAAACCAAAGAGACAAGCTACCTGCCCCAACACTCCCAACACACAATGGTGGGACAGCCATAAGACAGCATGAATAGAGATTCTGGTTCACCAAAAGGAGAGTGAACAGAAGCCACTGGTCCATGACAATTTTAAAATCCAGCAGGGGAAAATCTTGGATTTTTCTTGATTATGTTTCAGGTTCTAGGACTTAATCTTCTGTAGCTGTGGACTTTTCCCGCCAACTCTTGCTTCTGTTGTCTGAGTCATCCTTTTTTTTTTTTTTTCTCATGAAAGGTATCATATGTTTACAGCTTAGTTTTATCACTTGCTTTACACCATTAGGATTTTGGTTTTCTGACAATCTTTCTGCATTTTGTACTTGCTGTCCCTTTCAATCCAAGTTGACAGTGTTTGTGCTGAAATAATTTTCTCATGAACCCTGTGGACCTTGATTAAAATTCACTAGGTTTTGCTCTCTTTCACTAAAGTCACACCCATAAATCTGTTTGCGATCACCCTTTGATTCTCCTTGGCTCCCACTGAGATCATGGAAGGTCATTACCTTTAATCCTCCAGGAGGCCTTCTGCTAGGCATACCATTAACCTCTCAAAATGGCCTTTTAGTTACTAACACTGTGATCTTTTGATATTTCTGATGATTAAACAAAGGTTGTGTGATTACGATGTTTAATAAGTTTTACAGTTCACTTCAGAATATATTTAAATGTTAAGTAAGTGATCTTTCTTAAAGAATATAAGTCACACTTAATACTTAAAAATGTTCCATTCTCTTTTGCAGTACCTCTATCTGTGCCTATCTCAATTGGATAAATACCAAAGCAAAACCACAAAGGCAATGATTAAATTAGTTTCAACGGGAGATTATTGTAAAGTTATGAGATAATCACAAAGAATGCCATTGTAATACTCATCATTCAAATGAAAGCAATCACCTGTTACTGTGTAGGAACATAAAATGTAGAGTGCTTCCTTCCTATGGAGGAAGAGCGGCCTCTGTCTTCTGGATTAGTCATTGAAAAGTCCACCCACTTAAATGACTTCTGGAAATAACTTAAATTATATGCCATGGAAACTTTTATTCAAGTAGGAATATTTCTAACAATATATGCACAGTATGATATCATTCACCATTTCTTATATAAGAAAAAAATTAAATACTCATAGATCTTTATCAACCTTAGAAGGGACCAATATTGCCTGAATTTCTTTAAAAAATGACAAGAATTTTGGGTATTCTTCCCCTTCTCCCCCCTTAAATACCTTGCTGAAATAAAGATGGACTATTTCTAACATTTTGATCAACTATTGAAATGAAGAAATAGATAGAAACCTGCTTTTTAAATCTGCAATAATGCTGGGAAAGTTATTTAACACACTCTTTGATGATATCAAGATTTAAAAAGACTGAGTGACATTCAATACTTCTGGGATCCTAGAATTCTTGAACTGGATAATTAGAGAGGAATTTAAGACCTGAACTATTTATTCACTATATGAAAGAACTGTCTGATAGCTTTAGCGTTTATGAAATGAAAAAAGATGGGCTACTGTGCCTATCATTGAGAAATCCTTGACATTTCAGACACATTTGAAAATGTTTAGCTTCAAATTATAAGGTGCCAATTTGTTAAAGGTAAATTTCTCAGTATTATTTTCTATTTGCATTCATTTATTATTATTCAACGTTTCTAAAGAATATTCCAAATAAATATCTATGAATATGACTCATTATTTGTTAGGACACAATTTTCTGAAGTTACTATGCTTTGCACTTTAGTCTGGGGTATCACGCATTGTGCCAATTTATATATTTTCTGAAACTTTTTATATTTACTCCCTTCCCAAACATTTCTTTCTATTTGCCTATTTTAATAGATACTCTGTAGGTGCAGACTTATTTGAAATAAATGGGACTGCAAGATAAGCTTACTGAAGAAAACCTACCAAATAATTCTACATATGTCTTTAAGATTTACACTCAAACTTCATCAGAGGCTGCTGTTATCAGTTCTGTAAGCTTTGTAGGAGCTCAGCCAAATACAGAGAACTCATCATTTCCCAGCCAAATAGTGGCAATTGTCTTAAAGTTTTGATACATGAGTAGTCAGAATGTCATGTGTAAAACTCTCTTCTGTCACTGGATTCCAAAGAAAGAAAGGGACTTTCATCGATTTCAGTAAGTTACCCTAGCACACCCTGCTGGGCTAAGACTGCACCGAGAAGACACCACTAATAGTTATGAGATCTGCATCACTGCACGCATGGGAAGGACAGCCAGCCCAGAAGCTTACGTTCTTGAAAGGATGTGAAGAGCATCTGAAATCGGCTGTTCCGACTGCCCTCATCTGCCCACATGCGGATCACCCCCAGGCCTGTGCGCAGCATGACGTCATTGGCCACTGTGCTACAGAACTTGGCTTTCAGGTCCTCCACTGAACTGCTGCCGTCGTACACGGCCACGAAGTTCCTCTTGCATTCATTTGAGTTTTGCATCTCATAGTCCAAGAATCGCAAGTAGATCTGTAACACAAAAAGGACACAATAATTTCCCTGAATCAAAATGTGAAAGAAATACAGTATGAGAACTCCCTTTCTCTTTCTCAGACTCACAAGACAGTCTTGATTGCAATCAATGGTATTATTTTTCCCCATGGATAGCAAGAAGGAAGGATATATGAGTAAGTTTAAATTGTGTTTCATATTTTTTCAAATGTTATTATCCTTTCTTTATGTAAATGTTCCATTTTTCAAGGCTGAGGATTTTTACCCCAAATGGTCCTATTTCTCCTTATAACAGCACAAATATGTTATATTGATACTAGAGGCCTGAAATTCTGGGTCCTCAGCCCAGCCTGCAACCTCTCCATCCTGGGACCCCTCAAAGGATGTCTGACTGCCCATTTAGATCAGGCCTATATGGGCAGTCGGACATCCCTCTCACAGTCCAGGACTGCTGGCTCCCAACTGCTCGCCTGCCTGCCTTCCAGATTGCCCCTAACTGCTTCTGCCTGACAGCCTGATCACCTTCTAACCACACGCAGGCCAATCTGATTGATGTCTAACTTTTCCCCTGCCAGTCTGTTTATCCCCAACTTCCCTCTTCTGTCGGCCTGGTCACTCCTAACTGCCCTCCCCTGCAGGGTTGATCGCCTCCAACTGCCCTCCCTTGTAGGCCTGGTGCCTCCCAACTGCCCTCCCCTGCTGGCCATCCTGTGGTGGACATGTGTCAACATGGGGGCAGGATCTTTCACCACATGGGGGCAGCTATTGTGTGTTGGAGTGATGGTCAATCTGCATATTACTCTTTTATTAGATAAGATAGAGGCCTGGTGCACAGGTGGGGGCTGGCTGGTTTGCCCTGAAGGGTGTCCCAGATCAGGTGGGGGTTTCCTTGGGGCATGGGGTGGCCTGAGATAGGGGCCTGTGGTGGTTTGCAGGCCAGCCATGTCCCCTGGCGAACAAATGGAGGCCCTGGTATCTGGAATTTATTTACATTCTATAATTGAAACTTTCTAGCCTGGAGTGATGACAAACCTCCTGCTTGCTCTGTGGCTGCCGCCATTTCTGTTTGGATTTGTTTACCTTCTATAATTGAAACTTTGTAGCCTTGAGTGGAGGCTTAGGTCGGCTAGGGTAGGCGGAAAGCTTGGCTTTTTCTGTTGCATGGGAAACCCAAGCCTCCTTCCTGTTCTCTGTGGCCATAGCCATCTTGGTTGGGTTTATTTGCATACTCGCTCTGATTGGCTGGTGGGCATGGCTGGTGGGTGTAGCGGAATGGTGGTTAATTTGCATATTACTCTTTTATTAGGTAAGATTCCTAATGCATACCTGTTAAAGTTCTGTGGCTCCCACTTACTTTAAAAAATGTACAGATATATATAATTTGTATTAATACCAAAGGAAAAGAGAAAGTTATCAAAAGGTAGTCTCTGACTTGGCTATTTTGAAATTGTTTCACATAATTATGCTGCTTCAGGTTGAGCTAGATTGTATATATATATATATAGCTAACCTACAATTATTTTCAACATAATATAGAGAATAGTCATTTAGCTAAGGCCACATAAATACAAATTAAATTAACATTTAATGAGTATAGACTACTATGAAATCTACTTTATAGGTTATTTTTAAAGACTCCCTACAACTCTATAAAGTTTTATTGCCATATTCAAATGAAAAAAAAAACCCACATGGTATAAACTGGAAATTAGACATGAGGTCCTTCTAACTCCTTGGTTTATAATCCTCCCACACAATCACACTGCTTTGAACATACTTTTATGATCAACAGTTAAGATTTGACTCTGTTCCAATGTGCATTAAAAACTATAAGCAATTAACTCAACCAATGACAGATTTTAAAAAGAATTCGTGTGTCCATTTATCCACTAATTCAGCAATATCTAACCCCTGGCTTCTTACTTTGTCTTGGACACTACTCAGGCACTGAGGATGGAATGGGGAACATGAGGATGAGGGCCAGGGATTTAATGTCCATTAAATCATGGCCCAACCATGAAAGTTAAACTGTGAGAAATGAAAACTCAGGCACCCTAAGAAGGCTATCTGGGTGGGTTCTGGAATTAAGAAGGCATCTTCCATACGGATGTTTCTGAAGTATTTTACATTTTTTAAAACTTGAATTCCTATAGGTTATTTCCTCTTAAATGCCCTCTTATTAATGTAGTAGGGGCCCAGTGCATGAAATCCATGCACTGAGGAGGGGTCCCTCAGCACAGCCTTCCCCCTCTCAGATACTGGGAGCCCTCAGGAGATGTCCTACTGATGGCTTCACAGTCTGGCCTCCCTTTGCAGGAGACAACAGGGCTGATCAGGGGAAGGCACTAGACCCATCACCCCACTGCTGCAGCCACTGCCAGTCACCACAGTCACCAAGGTGTTTTCATCAACACAGACTCTAGTCCCTTCATCATGAAAAAATGACAACTTTCTTTAGGCATGTTTAAGATGTGTCTTTCATAGGATATGATATTTCTTTATTTTTCTTTTTATTCTCACTTGAGGATATGTACCCATTGATTTTTTCCCCTTTCCCTCCAAATGCCAGGCTTTAGGCTTGGGCAGGGGGACCCCAGTGTCTCCAATTGCTGGCTCAGCCCCTTCCCAAGACTAAAGCCTCCGCCCAAGGCTTTAGGCTTGCAAAGAGGGCCCCATGCCCCTCTGATGGCTGGCTGGGAGTGACCTGGGTGCCAAGGAGGTTCTTAGGACCCAGCTATGTATGCAAATTAACCACCATCTTTGTTAGGTTGATTTGCATACTCATTCTGATTGTCTGTGGGCATAGTGGAGGTATGGTCAGTTTACATGTTTCTCTATTACTAGGTAAGGTCACATATAAACTAAAGACATGCATTCAATTACAAATTTAACTCTTTCATCACTCAATATTCTTTTTTTCTTATTTTTTACAATCTATGAACCTTATAAGACAATTTTTTTCCAGATCTTTTCCTTCATCCCACATTAATAAATTTTATTAGCCCAGATGGTGTAGCTCAATGGTTGAGCATTGCCTTTGAACCAGGAGGTCATGGTTTAATTCCTGGTCAGGGCACATGTAGCCTAGATTGCCAGTAGGAGGTGTGCAGGAGGCAGCCTATAGATGATTTTCTTTGATCATTGATGTTTCTATCTCTCTTTGCCTCTCCCTTCCTTTCTGAAATCAATAAAAACATATTGTAAAAAAATTATTTCAGATAAAAGAAATTTATCTTCTGTTCTCAATATTCTCATTGAGTGGGGCACTAATTCTTATTAATTTAACCCTCAGAAAAGTGTTTAATTTTTACCTTCACTGACTCTTCTGTGATATTTCAAGTTTCCCAACTGTCCTGGGTGTTTTTCTAATTCACCTCCAATGCCTGCCCCAGTAAAATTTTCTGGGGCAGATCTAGTACACATACTAAAAAAGCAAATCTAATACTCATACTAAAATCTTTCACTGGCTTCCAAATGATTATAATTTAAAAAAATATTAAATTCAAAAACTGGCAACTTTTCCTTCTTATCTTTGAACATCAGACAGTCACTTTTATGTACATAACATAACTTCTACAAGAAGTAAGCATTTTCCATTCTCTGTCTATCAACTTCTTCCTGAATTTTTAAGATCTATTCAATGGTTGATTGGAAATTCTGTTAGTTTGTTTGTTTTATTGACTTCATTTGTTCAACATCCATCACATATTATTTAAATTCCAGGGTTTTAAGTGCCACACATAAGGATAATGATATGGAACAAAGGATATTTTCATTAATTTAATACAATAATTCTCAAAACAACATATTTATAAAACTATAACATAAAACCAAAAGACACAGTGTATTGCAGAATTATAAGAAACACTTGTCATAGCCATCTTAAAATGAAACAAACAAGGTTTAGAAAACCTAATTTTCTTTCTCAAAATGACATAGGCACCTAAGAGCGGTAATGAATTCAGCTTTTCTCAACAATATGCCCCTTAGTATCACACTACACAGCCTCACATACATATTTTTTAAATTCTCACAAGCTTATATTCCATAAAGAAAGTTAAAATCTTAAAGTAAACAAGCTACAACAAAATTAGAAAATAAGCAAAACCATCTCCCTTTCCCTAAAGGGGCAAGGGAACATTGGCCATTGAGATATAAGTGGGGCTCATGGAAAATAGATGTGTCCCTTTGAAGTCAATGGCTGTCTTCAGTTTTCTCCAGAGATACAGTGATTTGAAAGAAGAATATTGCTACCATTAGAGAGACAGTGTATATATCCCACCCACATTCGCTCATGTGACAGTTCTAGAGAGAAGCCGTATTTTCCCTAAAAAGTGATTGATTTGCATTCTTACGTGAACTGCAATGACCTACATCTATGTGCCTTCTATAGTGAGGGTCATTCTTGTTAGGCAGAATACTAATTTTAACTTTTTCTTACCAATCAAGAAAAGAAATCAAACTAAGCCAGTGGGTATTTAGCTTCGCTGGGTGCTGGGCTGTACTTCAAATGTCATTAGCCAGAAAAGTGACCCAGGTTTCTCACACTCACTCTACCAGGCCTCAGGTATTAATAAAAGCCTCCCTGCATTACGATTTAAATAACATTCCAGCAGTTAAAGCTCTTGCCATAGCATCACTGAGGGGAAGGGTGCCACATGACAATGTTTTTACTCAAGGGAGTAAACGACAGAGGTGTCTCCATTCTCTCTGCTGAGGAAAAGAGAAAATGATCAACAGAATCATCTATAACTCCAGTGAAATAGTCCAATTAAAATCTCTTGGTAAATCATTTGGGTGCATTCTTCTTTCAAATCAATCACAAAGTTCGAGCTGACAAAATGATTTATTAAACATGACTTGGGAAGCTTTGGAATGCATAAGCAATTTCTAGCAATATCTGTCTTCCCATCACATTAATAAGGAGAACAGGGTCCCTTTTGTATACTTACAGCAAGTAAATCTAAACAACAATTTGCTAAGTACTATATTTACTAACATTTAATCCTGACCATTCAACCTGGTCCCTCCCTTCAAATCCAGATGATGTATAGAAAACAGGCATTGCTTGGGGCAGTAATTTAAGACTTGCCAGAACAGTTTTCTCCAAGATAAATACAAATTATATATACACAGTCTGAGAAACACTGTCTATGGCTTCAAAATTTTACACTTTAATAAATAAAGCCATATTCAAAAAAATGTGCATGCAGCCCCTGACACTGAAAGATTGCTGGTTCAATTTCCAGTCAGGGCACATGTAGGAGAGAGCTGATCTATGTTTCTCAAATCGAATCCTTCTCTCCTCTCTCCCTCTTCCCTCTTTTTTCTCTCTCTCTAAACACACACACACACACACACACACACACAGGACTTGTGCGGTTGCTGTTTGATTGTGACTAGACAGCCTCTTTTCTGGAATGTTGATAAAACACACACCCTACAACAAATCTCAATATAACTGTATAAACATCATTTTCAGGTCATAATAAACAAATATCAAACATTTAAAAAGTCCATCTGAGTAGCCTCCAAAACCCAGTAGTGCAAAACAGATATTATTGAGAAACAAAACTGAACTATGATCTTTTCATTGGTAATCATCTAGCCAGTTAAATTTTTCACGTTGTTTACCAAATGTTCATTTCCCTTTTTTGAGATAACAAAGGCAAACTCCATCTTTAGAACCCTAAAAGATATCACTGTGATCCATTTGAGTAACTACCCTTTGTCTATTGAATTAGTTTCCTCCTTGCTCTGTAACAAATTACCGCAAATTGATCGGCCTGACACAATGCCCATTTATCATCTCTGTAGGTTACAAATACGAGGAAGCTGAACTGTGGTCTCTGTTAGAAGCATATATATATATATATATATGAGGCAGAAAATCCAAGTCTTTGCAGCTTGTTTTCTTAACCATTTACCAGGGATCCGTTTTAGCTCCTGGAAGTCAGTCTTAGCTCTTCGCTCTCTGACTTTCCCTTTGTCCACAGCAAGAGAAAACTCTGATTTTTAAAAAGCTCCGGTGATCACATTAGGCTCACCTGGATAAGCTCTCTTTTAATTAACTCAGAGTGAACCGATTGGGAACCTTAATTGCATCAGCAAAATCCCTTTTCCAGGAATTTAACATAATCAAGTGTGTGATATTTTATCTCATTCCCTGTCTTAGAGACTAGGCTGGCAATCTCAGGGGTCATCTTTAAGATTCTGCCTCCAGCAATTAAGCTCATTATATAATTGACACAACATCACTATGAAATACTGACTTACTATATTTGTCAAGTTTTCTGATTATTTTATCCTAACTTTATTCAAAGATTTAAGGAACAATGTATTCAAAATTAATTTGGAGTTTTAAATGATGGGTAATTACTAAAAGCTAGAGTTTTATTCTCCCAAGACCTAAAGTTATTAAATTATCTTCATTTATACATTGTTATATACCTTTGACCAATTTCTTTTCCTGACTTACAGATTTGACCATTTCCCCACATAGTGTGTTTTTAAGGACTGTACTGGGAATTGGGAGATGAAAATCTTTTTCAGCACTGTTACTAACTAGACAAATATTTGGGCAGTCATCCATTACAGACTCATCAAGTTTTGGTCTTGAAAGGAGTTTAATATTATCTGCACCCCAAATTCACTTGATTTTTTAAAAATTATTATACAAAACCCTTGCCAAACTACTTGGATTCCTCCGATAGAATTTCATTTGATCTTTGGGAGATCAAAAAAAAACAAAAACCTTATCTATATTGAATCAAAAGCTATATTTCTCCAGGTTCAAACATTCAAATACATTGCAGTACTAAACCCCAGCAGACTAGCCTAACCTCTGATCCCTGTCAGATGACAGTCCTTCAGAAGTTGTAAGATTGCTACCATGTCCATTTCTCTAGATAGTCATCAGTTATTTTTTTCCATGAGTTTTAACTGGATGACAGACATTTTGCTTGGCACTAATAAATAAGCCAAATTTTGTGAAATTAACATGCAAGTAGTTAACATGATTTGATCTCACCCAACATTTGTTTCTGGACCAGACCCAGAACAAGGCAGTATGATACTCTTCCACCATCCTTGCTCTAGAAGCTATATGAATACCAAAGACTCCTTACAAAGGCATTTTCCTTCATCCTATTGTTCACCCTTATAAAAACTTCATCACCCCGACTCAGCTTATTCACCTGTCAAATGAGCTAATGAGTAATAGATTTCCAAAGTTCTCCCTGACTGGTATTCTAAATTCTAAGAAACTGGATTAATCACATTCTAATTAAAAGTGACCATCTGTGTCACTACTCTCAAACAAAGCCAATAGCATTTATTGTATTCTTCATTTATATACTTCACATGCGTTTTAATAAAGCCCAAATAAGCAAGATGTTTCAATCACCAGTTATCATTCAAATATTCACCCAGAGCCAGTTCCAGTTTAATTTTTACTTTAATCATCTTTTCTCATAAGCTGCTAGGAACTCCATAAAAATAGAAAACCCACATAGGCAGTCACCTCCAGTTCTTGCTTTTATCCAGTTATTCAAAGCTACTTCCTTATACTGTAACCTTTAATTTAACAGAGAAAGCCTGTCACAATTGAGCCATCTTTGTCAAGCTCTGCAGGTGGCTTCCTATTTGGGTTATAGAATGTCAAATTCTGTAACAGATAGGTACATTGGGTATTGTTGTTCCGAGACTGTACAAAAGACAGCCTATTTACCAGCTGGGAGAAGGTGTGTGTTTATACTTCCATTAAATCCCTCTCTGTAACAGTGACAGTGATGAAGATGCTGGCTGTGACAATAAGGTGGTACTCATATATGTCCAGTTGAAAAAAAATACTTAAAAAAAAATCTTTCATTCAGAGTTTAAGAAAAATGTAGCATGTGCACATGAAACCACAGATTATGTCAAAGAACATAAAAGAGCAACCCAGCTCCTTTGTAAATAGATGAAGCGAGTTGAGTTTTATGGCACCAATAGTCTTTTGTTTTTTCAAGAAGGAACCACTCACTGCCTTTCTTGGCTATGCAATTACTTTTTTCAAAGGTTTGTTAGATGCAAAATGACCTGCAAGTGATAAAGCTAGGAGGTGGAGCATGGTCTCTGACCCTCCAAGCTTAAGGTTTGGGGGAAAGGTACCACACTTCCAAATTATATGCAGATCCCAGAGTCCTAGCAGGAGAAACCAAGTGAAGAAAGACAAAAGTATATCCTGAAATACGGACTCCCTCAAAGATAACCCTTCTTCCCTTTGTCCTAAATATCCAGCCACCAATTTCTGCAGTATCTAAAGGTATAGTTTCCTTCTTCTGCCTACCATCATAGTCTCCATGATGGGGATTGCTACTTACTGTTATCCCCTCTGCCACAGGGAAAACTGTTTTCCCTGATAAAGATTTGGTCACTTGCATCACTCACTTTCAGGTATCATTAACACTCTCCTGTTTGCTAGGGATCTTTTCACGGGTCTATTTTATCTGCCAGAGATCTGTGGATTTGTAAACCCTGAGTATTTCTTTCCTCAATGTGATTTTAGGTTTAAAAGCATAAGTTTAATTATACTTAGAATCTTTGCTTTTATGAATAGCATTTCAATACGTTTCTCAGAGTAGTAGAGCTATGGTAGAGTCTATTGTTCAGAATATCTAATGTTCTTTAGCACCATCTCCATATTACTTATGGTATAAAAGTTACACCAAACGGGGGAAGACAAGTTGCATTTCAAAACCCAAATAAAATAATAGCTTATTGTGGTGCTCTGAAATGCTCTGAGCACATCCCATTTGCTGGAAGGTTGTACAGGCTGTAGACACTCGCCAAGTCAACTGTGCAGTCTGGGTTTGACCTTGAGACTGACCTTGGATCGTGGAGGTGCTCGGATGTACCACTTGCAATCAACGGCCTCGCTAGCAGAAGCTTTGCCTTCCTTCATAATTTGTATAGATTCCACAATTCCTTCAGGACCGCCCACTTCAAACTCACACACTAAATAACAAAATGCCAAACAAACACAAAAATGGAGCTTGAATAATAAACCAAAAGTATATTTCATAGCAGAAAACAAAGGCCTCTGAACATTATTAAAATTTTATTTTACCAACCTGGTAATGGTTTCAAAACTCCAAGGTCCTTAAATTCAGGATCTTAAAAATTGAGAAAAAGACAATTAATGTTATTCTGCACTTATTAGAGAATAATAAATGTTGAGTAACATACCATTACATGGTGCTGTGTAACATACCATTAAGTGATTCAGAAATCTGCCTAAAAATCCACATTAGGTGAAATTAAATGCTTAAATCAGAATTGCATGATAATATTGATTGAAATGTTAACTTATATAACATATTGATATCACTATAGAGTTTTTATCAATATAAAATAATCTTTTTTTTAACCTTCCAATGCCATTCTGTCCTCAAATCATCAGATATGAATCTAACTTATTTTCTAAGTCCATAATTGGACAATAGGTATTTTTGTAAAATATACGCAATAGGTAATTCAAAGTTTGGGTAAACTTTCATTTATTCTAGATACAACTAGTAGTATTTTGTCTGATTTGAAAGATTCTATCAAATTGTTGAAACACAATTTTCAAATGAAATATTGGAAGAACAGAGTTAAGATGTAAAACCTAAGGCTCCGGTGGACTGCACAATCTCTTTTTCATCCAACCTTTTCCCTAACTTTTCATGCCATGTTGTGTCTACTCATCACCCATTCTCCCCTGTTTCCTCTCAACAGACAGCAGGCGTAGGTATCTGTTCATTGTCTGCACATAAATGCCAGGGTAGCTTCCATTCTCATGAGCCTCGGAGGAGTCCTTAGGTGATAGAAACCCAAAATGATGGTCTCCCTTCTATGCCTGGGAATTGATTTTGAAAAAGGCATGCAGTCCTCATGATAAAAAGGTCAGCCCACGGGAGGGCTTCTGAGAAAGTTTTCCTCCATAATAATAATAGTGACAGGGTATGCATATTGACAGTGAGCTCAAGATGAGTAGAATAGAGAGCTGGAGAAGTGAGTCCTTACCTGTTCACTGGGCTTGGTAGTAACCTTCTGCAGTCATGCTCCCCTGAGGGTCTCTGCATTAAGAATAATATGAGTCCTTCTACTCTCAGTTATTTTGAACTGGATTTTCTTTTATTTATGGGCAAAGGCTTCAAAGCCTATAATTTATCTTGGAGTCACATCATGTCCAATTTAAAAGATGACTCGGAAATTTAATTTTATTTTACTACTAGGATATCTGTTATAAAATTAAAATCTTGTAAAGTTAGAAATACATGGTGGGGCAAAAATTGGTTTACAGTTGTGAATATTTGAAATACAGATTTTATGCTTGTATTGTTATTTATTCATGACTAGTGGCCTAGTGCACAAAATTCATGCTTTAGGGAGAAAGGAGAGGTGTCCCTCGGCTCAACCTGTACCCTCTCCAATCTGGGACCTTTCGAGGCATGTCTGACTGCCCATTTAGACCCAATCCCTGTGGAGGGCAGTCAACATCCGTCTCACAATCAAGGACTGCTGGCTCCTAACTGCTCACCTGCCTGCCTGCCTGATTGCCCCTAATGACTCTGCCTGTTGGCCTACTCACCCCTAACTTCCCCCATGCCAACCTACTCACCCCCAACTGCTCCCCTGCCAACCTGCTCACCCCCAACTGCCCCCCCCCGCCAACCTGTTTGCCCCTAACTGCTCCCCACTGCCAGCCTGCTCACCCCACCTGCCCCACCCACTGGCCTGATTGCACCCAAATGACCCTCACTGATGTCCTGCTTGCCCCCAATTGTACCCCTCTGCTGGCCTGTTCACCCCCAACTTTCCCCCCTGCCAGAATGCTTGCCCCCAACTGCCCTCTCTTCTTGGTCCCTAACCACCTCTAACTCAGCCCCAGCACCATGGCTTTGTCCAGAAGAATGTCCAGAAAGTCTCCTGGAAGGTCTCCAGTCTAATTAGCATATTATCCTTTTATTAGTATAGATCAGTGGTCAGCAAACTCATTAGTCAACAGAGCCAAATATCAACAGTACAATGATTGAAAATTCTTTGTGAGGGACTGAGGGCTGTTTTCAGGCTGGGCACACCTCCTTCAGGGTGGCACCCCTACTGGGGTGCCTGGCCAGCCTGGGTAAGGGGCTGATGGATGTTTGCAGGCTAACCATGCCCTTAAGCAAGGACACTCACCCCATGGAGATGTGGCCAGCCAAGGTAAGGGGCTGAGGATCATTTTCAGGCCCCAACTTCAGCAGCTGGCCTTGGTAACTAAGCTCCCATCCTCAGGCTGGCTCTGTGACTAACACCCACAAGCCCCTCCTTCAACAGCTGGCCAGAGCGGGTAGGAAGCTTGGCTTCCTCCATCATCAGGAGGGACCCAAGTGTCCCACCCGCTCTGACTGGCTTCATGGCTGCTGCCATCTTTGTCCCACTAATTTGCATACTCACTCCTGATTGGCTAGTGGGTGGTGCAAAGTGATGGTCAATTTACATATTTCTCTTTTAATAGTGTAGATTGCATTATTTCTATATAAACAACTGTAAACCTACTTTTGTCCCACACTGTATTTTTCAAGGTACTGCTCAGCAATAGTCGAGGGTTGAAATATAAAAGGGTAGTGCTCTTTCTGGAGGGAGTTATTTCTGGATGTTAAGATTGTGTGTGTTTGTACATCCATGTGTCTGTGTGGATGCATTAAACCCACAACTGAAGACCAATAGTACTTGTCATAGATTGTTGTTTGTGTGCCTGTTAAACCATAGCATTCACTGTTCCATTAAATGGAAGACCTGGGTCAGTCATGATACAATTTAGTCATATCACCTGCTATTTAGACTCAGTTTATTATGGGACATTATTAGAAAGTGGCCATACAATTTGAATCAAGATACAAATTACTTCCTGTAATTCTTTAAAAAGAATTCTCTTAACTTTCTAGAAAAGGAAGAAGTACTTGAATGCAATTTCCATGAAAGAAGTAGACATGAGGGCAACATATTGAATAGTTACCCAGGACTAAGACACCCCTAGCAGGGTTTTTCCCTTCATCTAACTCAATAGGCACTTGGTTATTCTTTCAAAGGATGTATATTTAATACCTACTGTGTATAAGAAAAGAACTATGCTTTGTGTACAACTACTCAGATGGGTTGTCACCACAAGGCTGTTTTGTTGATATTGAAGAGACCATCCACATTTCCCTTTATTTTGACATCCAGTTTGCTCACCTCAGTTATTTAGATTCTTTATTATTGATTATAAACTTTTTACTATTTTGAATAATGCTTAATAGTCATTATTAGTCAGTACCTCCTTATAGAATATTTCAGCCTTGCATGGCTGTTCCTATGATTATGTGGAAACGTGGCTGGTATTCTATTTTCTAGTTGAAGGCTGTCATTTTTATAACTCATGCCAGACAATGTTGAGAGAAATGCCAGTTCTTGGAATTGAAAATTTATTTTTGTCTTTGTATTAAAGCACTGATAGTATATAAAAACAAACAAACAAACAAAAAAAAAACATTAGAAAAAATTGTTTCTGCAAATCCATTTAAATTAGCCACCAGTCATATAATCATAACTAATGGCACCATAACTAATGTCCCATACAATCTGTGAAAACAAACAAATATAAACAGCTGACACTGAATTTAAGAATACTATGATGGACTCATTGCTTGGATTGTTCAAGGATAATGACAAACTATTATGTGCAAGTGCAATGAAGTTGACTAAGTTATCTCTTATTCTAAACCGCCCTTCCTAATCTACTCTCCACTAAGCAACTGGAATACATTTTTAAACATATAAATGTAAATCTAATCATGATACACTCTGGCTTTCCATTGCTGTTGGAATAAAACAAGAACACTTTTTCAAAGACTATAAGGCCCCGTGTTTTTGCCCCTGACCACTTGACCCCAAATACCCACTACTGCTCACCTCAGTTCTCTCCTCTCAAGACACATTGACACTTTCTCTTTTCTGCAGCTTCTCAGGGTCCCAGGCTGTTCTCATTCTCAGGGATTTGAACTTAAACCCTTTCCTGTCTGTTTTTCTCTCAGGTCTTTGAAAAGCTGGATCTTTCTCATTTTTCAGTTCTTAGATCAAATATGATAATCTTAGAAAGATCTTCCTGGGTGACCCTGTTCACAATTGTATCGTTGTTTTTTTTGTTGTTGTTTGTTTTTGTTACTATAGTTTACTATTGTTTTCCTATTTGTTTATATTTTGTTGGCCATATTCTTCCACTGGACTGAAAGACTCACTTTATCCACCACTATTGTACTGTCTATGTCTAAAGGTGGCAAAAAAAAAAAAAAAAAAGACACAGAGCATTTTAAAGAGGTCTCTTACTTATGGAAAGGAGAAATCTACTCCAAATGAAATGGAAAAGCTATGTACAAGAAACAAACAAATGACAAAAGCTATCATTTCTGAGACTTTATAAATGTCAATAATTTGCCTTATTGTGATTCAGGCAGAAAAAAATATTTTCTAGTAATTTTATTGTGACAGTTTGATTGCAACATTATTTGAATTGCTTGAAAAGTATTGAATTGCTTGAAAAGTATTGAATATTTCAAATATAGACATAATTAGCTCTTGAAAAGTGAAATATCTCAGTTATTGTGTATGCTTCTCTAGCCGATACGATAACTCATCATGAAGATGCGGTGGCAGTATTGTTCACTGTTAGTTTTAAGCTGTAACAAATATTTGTTGGATTTCAAAGAGCTCATCATATTTATATTTGAAAAATTCAGTTCTTTTTCTTTAATGATTGATCTCAAAATGAGGCTACAGTGGAGCTAGTTCTTGTAATCAGTTGATTCAAAATGTGTTGTATCACACACAATAAGCTAAAATTTAATATCCAGAAAGCATGAAAAAAGAAAAAAATTGTATTATACTTTTGTTTCTTACTTATAATTTTGTCATTTGTTTTGGTGTAGATTCTTCACATCCTTGAGTCAATGAACTGTTTTAAAATTTCTTTTCAGCATTTTTAGATGGGGCATGGTGCCATTGAGTCAGGAAAGAAAATCTTCTACTTTTTCTTTCAAAAGTCTGCAATGCATCTTTTCACATTAAAGAAACCACATAAATATTTTAAAATTCATTTTATAACAAAACA